GACAATAGAGCGGGCAACATCAATCGCATCCGAGATCACCTGGCCTTTCTTCGGGGGCCGAGGGGCAAAATACATGCCAACCTCCAGCAGGAATATATTGGGCGGGAATCCACTGTTCAAGCCAGCTTGCACTAACAAGACAAAGCTCACCGCGTCATAAAACTGAATGAGGTCGTGGAAGAGCACCACGCGCTCGAAGAACAAGTCGCAAGCACCTTCACCCATCACAGCCCGAGTCAACGCCGCGCGCAGAGCCGAAGATCCAGCTATCGCGGCATCCCAGAATCCGACAACGACGCCTACCATTCTCCCGAAGCTTTCGCGTCATCGGGACGAGGCCGAATACTCTGCAACCCCCTGACTCCTTCGGAATAGCAGCGCCCAGCACTGCGCTGATAGCCATGGGCCTAACTCCAGCAAGCTTCATTGCATTCACGTTGTCGACAAAGGCCTGGCGAGCCTGGTCTGGCTGGCGCTGAATGTCCAGCGGGCTCATCGCGCCCACTCCCTTCGCCTTCATCTTGGGCAGCACGGCATCCAGATCCAGCAGAGCGACGAGAGGCAAAGGTGCAGCGCGAGCCTCACCCAGACAGCGCTGCGTCAGATCCAAGATGTCATGGGGCTTGTCGACCGGATCCTTCCACGGGTCTCTCCATTCAGTAGCCAGACCTTGCAGCATAGCCTGGTTGTCGGAAGTGACCGCGCCCCAAGTGCCCCCACTCTCCCGATATGGAGAAAGACGCGGGTCTCGCGCGGCGATGGACGGCCACTGGCTTCTTGGCCCACATGTCCTGGACCCATTTCATAAAGGAGGACCTGGAGGCCAGCGTGGCTCGAGCATTGGAGAGGTCAGCCCACCCGCGAGTACTCACCAGCAAATGAGGCAACATATCCAAGGAGACAGCATCCAGGCTGGCGACCATTCCCTTCCACGCGAAGAAATCCTGGGGCCCTGCCCCCCTGCCAAAATAGGGCCCATCGCCCGCGCCGTCTAACTGCTCGATCAGCTTGCGCGCCTTCGCGACGCACTGAGCTGCCCGTTCGAGGTCAGAACCGCTGTGCTTCAGCGAGGCATACCTTATCACCAGCGCACGTGTTAGGTCCCAATCATGCAACCTCTACCCATGCACACCCTGCCTGGAGTCGAACGGGCCAGCTTCCAACAACAGGCGGGCCCACGAGCTCTACCTGAATATTGTTTCCACTTCTCAGCCTCGACCTCCCCACGCAACAAAACTGCGCGCCCCGTGACAGCGGCCCAATGATCGCGCTGCGCGCCCACAGAGCGGCGGGCTCCCGCCTGCCACTGGAAGCCGAAGTGCCCGGCAGGGCCACAAGAAGCACAGTGCCCCAGCAAGCGCGAGGGGGCTGGCCCATGCGCAACAAGAACTCATTCCCAAAATATAGGTACGTTTGCCTCGTCCCATGTTTCAGCAGAAATAGCGAGGGCCCCCTCCACCCTGGGGCCCTCCTGGGGCTAGCGCAGGTCGTCGAAGGCCTCATGGAGCTCAGCAGGGAGATCATGATGCCTACGTCGACGGAGAGCCTCCTTCCTCTTGGAAGACTTGCTATCTGGGCCAGGCAGCGCACGAAGACGCTCGCACGTTGGAAACGGCTGCGGCAGGACGAGGCGGCGGCACCAGCGCCGAGTGCGCGCCGCCTTCACACAGACATTGACCCCGCAGTGCGTCTTCCAAGGCACAGACAATTCAGGGCCCATAATCACTTCAGGAAAAAACCTCGCCCCACCAACCCATGATCACACATGCGACCTGGGCCTTTCTCACACGCCGCGCTGCACGAGGGCGCGACAATTCCGGCGCCGAGACGCTCGGGCCACCCAGCGGCCGCGAAAGGGCCTGTCTCGACATCCGAGAGAGCGTGATCCACCGCCGCTGTACTGTGGAAAATTGCCAACCTTTTCCTCCGGAACCCGGGGGTCGCCCCCCCCCCCCCCCTCCGAAAATCCCCCCCCCCCTGCTGGAACCCCTCCCCCCCCCCCCCCCCCCCTCTCCCCCGGCAAAACCCCCCCTCCCCAACCCCCCCCCCCCCCCCCTCCCGCTCGAAAACCGGGGGGGGTCACTACCGGTTCGAACCCCATCCCCCCCCCCCCCCCCCTCTCCGGATCCGGAAAACCGGGGGGGGTCACTACCGGTTGGACCCCCCCCCCCCCTACTCACCGCCAGCAAACGACTCCCGGTCCCCACCACCGTCCGCATCACATCCCCCACTGGTGTTCCCAGCACCACTGTCCTCACCACCGCTGTCCCCACTGGTTCCACCACCGCCCCTACTGTCCCCACCAGTGGCCCCACCACTGTCGCACTGTCCCCGCTGTCCCCAGAACTGTTCCCACCACGGTTCCACTCTCCCCACTGTCTCCACGGCCCCAACCACTGCCCGACTATCCCCACTGTCCCCACTGTCCCACTGACTCCTCCGCTGTCCCACTGAGCTGTCCCACTGTTCCCACCACTGTCCCCACTGTCCCCACCACTGTCCCCACTGTACCTCTGTCCCATTGTCCCACCGCCGTCCTCGCCACCGCCTTCACCACTGTCCCCACCACCATTGTACCCTCCACTGTCCCACTGTTTCCACCTCATTCCCATTGTCCCCACACCACTGTCCCCACCACCACCGTCACCACCACTGTCCACTGTCCCCCCCTGTTCCCACCATTGTCCCCACCACTGTCCCCACCACTACCGTCCCCACCACTGTCCCACTGTCCCACTGTCCCCACCACTGTCCCGCTATCCCCTCACCACTGTCCCCACCAACACCGTCCCCACCACTGTCCGCACCCCCACTCGGTTTTCGAGGGGGGGGGGGTTCGAACCGGTAGTGACCCCCCCCGGTTTTTCCGGAGGGGGGGGGGGTTCGAACCGGTAGTGACCCCCCCCTTTTCATGATGAGGGGGGGGGGGAGGGGTTCGAACCGGTAGTGACCCCCCCCGGTTTTCCGGAGGGGGGGGGGGGGAGGGGTTCGAACCGGTAGTGACCCCCCCCGGTTTTCCGCCAGCAGCAGTAGAACACGCTCTTTCCGACATCCCAATCCACCACGATGAGGCATGGGTCGGCCAGGGAGCGCACGAAAGCTGCAAGAGAAACCAGCACGTCGCGGTCCCAACCCTTCACTCCCAGGCCCAGCTGGAGGTAGGCCGAGATCAGCACCCAATTGCCCGCCTTGGCGCGCAGCACCGAAAGTGCGAACCCTCTGCAGGGGCCCAAACGTCCAGCATCAACAGAAGCACGGCGAGCACCCTCAATGCTCGTCGCAGCAATATGCTTCTTTGCCAAAACCCATTCGCCACCAGAGAGCCCATTTTGCGACTTGCCCGAGGGGCGGGCAGCCGCGCGTGCAAGCCTCCAGCCATCTTTGTCCAGGCCCGCGCAGATGTCGGGCATGTCCAGTTCACCCTTGCGGGCCTCGCAGAAAGCCACCACGCTGCGCCTCGACCCCCGAGGCATGAAACGCGCCGCCCGGGGGCCCCACTCCGTGATGATGCCGAAAAGAATGGGGGGATTATCATCCTCCGATACAAGCAGATCGCGGTCATTCACTGCCGCTGCTTCGCCCCAGCGGGATGGGCCCACCTCCCGGCCGCTAGGAGCCGTGCCAGCAGCTGCAGCAGCGCAAAGAGAGCCGCCGCCGCCTTTGCCCACGCCCTCTTGCCGCCTGGGCCTGCGACCCCGCGTTGGAGCGGAACTTCTCGCGCATGCCCTTTCGCGCCGACTCAGGCAGCTCGGCAGTGGGGCGGGCGCCGTCAGCCGAGGACGCAGCTTGGCCACCTTCGGCAGCTTGGCATTGGCCCCCAGCACCGCGGACAGATGCACCACCTTCGTCGCGACGGCGCCGCTTGGTGGCCGCCTCCTTGTGCGCACTCCTCGCCTGCTCCAGAAGCGCCTGGAACTCATGTTGTTGCTCGGTCGCTTGCCTCGAGATGTCGTCCAGCTGCTTCTGGAAGGCCTCGAGAGCGGCCTTGCCACTCGCCCCCAGCTCATCGAAGGACTCGAACAAAGGCGGGCCGACCTGGAAGATGACCCCTTCCGTCTCGTCGGGGGATTTGCCCACAGACCCCTGAGCCTGCAGGCGCTTGCACTGAGCCTCCACCATCTCCCCCGAGGCCATGTCAAAGGCCTCGCATGCTTTCTCCAGCTGCAGCTTGGCAAACTCCACCACGCGCGCAGCCTTGTCCAGCACCTCCTGCTTGCGGGAGCGCTCCGCCGTGGCCTCCTTGAGCACCGAGTAGGCACGATTGGGCGGGGTGGCAGGCTTCTTCGCGTCGGCGAGCACCTTGAGCTGCGAAGTTAGCCTCGCTGCCGCAGGGTCTGAGTCCAGGCCCGCCGACACAATCGCCTTGGACATGTAATCCTCGAGCGTGGGCACCGTCGGGCCGTGCCACTCGCCTTTGGACTTGCTGCCCTTGCCGTCAGCCCACCACGGCGCGAACCACGAGCCGCTGCCAGACGCCGTCCATCTCGGCTGCACCGTACCGCAGATGGCGCAGGAGGAGGAGAATAAGGGGGAGGGGAAGGGGGAGGGGGAGAGGGGGAGTAAGAAATAGGAGAAGGAGGAGAAGAGCGGGGAGGATGACAAGAGGTAGAAGGAGCGGAAGGGGGAGGGAGAGGAGGAAGGGGAGGAGGACGAGAAGGAGAGGAGGAGGAGCACCACGGTGGGTGAAACAACGTCCGCTGGCGGAACTTTACCATGGCACTGTTCCAAGCGACGGAAGCTGCGGGCATCGGAGGGGCAAGCGGTCTTCCGCTTGAGGGCGCCATGCGCAAGCGGCAGAGACACAGCGACTGCGGTTTTGTTTCGCGCCTGCGTGGCGACTGTCTGTTGCTGTGTGTGGACGTCACATTCTCGATGTCGCGAGCACGTCGATCACCCCCAAGAGGTGGTGCTGTGGACATGATGGCATATGCTCCGTACTGCAAGAGATCGACCACGGTCGGAACAGCGTCATTCGCTGGTGAGTGACCTATGAATATGTTCCCTGTGGCAACAACGGCTCGGGCAACAACAAAGAGCGCGTGACCCTTGCCATTGCCCAGAATACCACCCAGGAAAAAAATCCCACTGACTCGCTGACCAATCTCAAGCTGCGCTGACCTGAACACAGCGTCGTCGAAGATGGCCAGAAAATTCAACTCCTGCGAAGAAGACGATATAACGAACCAACGGAGGCCAAACGCAAGTAGAAACACCGCCCGCCGCAGCTTCCTCACGAACCCAAAACTCGGTGCTCGGCTGAGAATACATCTGCACGGGCTCACTAGAGATGAACGACAACATGCCCAACGTTCCCAATTACGCTTGGCGTTACTGGAGATCCATGTATTGAGCGTCAGAATGATAGTCTGGCTGAGCACTCATCAAGTGCGTAGCATTGCGACGCATCACTAAAGCGCGTTAAACCGAACATATCGTTTCGGCTCCGAACATCAACGATGTCACACCGCCACTCATGAACGCAATGAGCGTCTATGTGGACAGGGTAGATCACATCACCTACGCGGAGTTTGAGCACACAGCTCCTGAAGCCCCAATGAAACGTTCAGCCGTTATTCACTCAACCTCAAGAAAATAACAATCGTCCAGGATGATGTCAACACGCCCCAGGCCATCTACATCCAAAACTTGTAAAGAGACGATTCACTTCACTTTTCGTGCGAATTTCAGCATCGCCGGCGCGCTCTCTTTCAGCCCGAAATTGCTAGCAGGAAAAGTGATCCAAGGGCAATACTGCAAGCGAAAGCAGAACCTTCTCAAAATTGGAGCGCGACAACACACCTTGCCACCACTAACCGTTCAAACGGGTGATAAAGTTGAGCACTTCCAGTGCCGCTGCTACTGCAACCACTGCAGATGTCTTCACCTGGACAATAAGGAAACTCCATCGATGGCTGGCGCGCAAAATTTGTGGTTGCAACGACCAGCATACCGAGCAACAACGATGTCGTTCGGCGACACTTCTGATCCACAACTGCCACCAACCATTTTCCCTGAAAATGGCACCGGGCAAAAGGCCCCGAGCAGCTCCCACCCGAAGGCGGAGGATAAGGAGGACTAGGGGGGGGGGAGGGAGAAGGAGGAGGAGCAGGAGCAGGAGGAGGACCAGTGTAGAAAAAGAATCAGCAACGATATTGCAATAAACCCTCCCTCCAAGTTCCATGTTCACAGACCCCTACAAAAATTCATTGTCATTGAAGGAAGTGCCCCGTTGGAAAACAACCGTTTGGACCAGAACACCATTCCTGGGACTTCAACGTCACGAATCACAATTACTGTCACGTCTTAACGATCCTGAACCGTGTGGGAACACCAATCATGGGACTTCATCACCGCGAATCCACGTGGCTGTTACGCCCTGGCATTCCGACTTCGTGCCAAAACACCCTTCCCAGGGCGATAACCATGAGAATCCTTGAAGCTGTTGCAAACTTCAACAACGAATTTGCGCGGCGCTACGGCGAAAGCCACATTTTGAAAGCGGCCCGCCCTCCGTCCGTGAAACTGCTGCACCTGTTTAAAACGTGTGTGCGCGACGCTAAGGCGAGAGCCGCAAGTTGGAAACGTCCCGCCGTTCATCCGCGAAGCTGTTGCAAACTTTTAGAACAAATGTGCGCGGCGCTCAGGCGAATGCCACGTGTTGAAAGCAACTCGCCCTCAATCCATGAAACTGGTGCGAATTCTGAGCATCAGGATCGTAAATTGTGAGGTCGTCTCATGCGAAACGCCCAGCCCGTCCTTTCGACCGTGCCCGGGGTGCGACACGGAGCAGTTATCTGCAAGAAAGAAGGATGGAGGAGGAGCACGAGGCGCTCGGAGATCATGCCCCTCAGCTGCACGGAATCTCGACGCAGCCCTCCGCCGCTCGAGCGCCCGACCAGGAGGAGAGGTCACCAGAGGGTCTCTCGGGGACTCCGTAGGCCTCCCGAGGCCTTGACGAAGCGAAACAGATAGAAATCTCCTCCTCCTCCTCCTCCTCCTCGTCCTCCTCCTTCTCCTCCTCCTCCCTATTCCCTCCTCCGTCCTCCGCCCTCCCTCCTCACTCCTCCCTCCTCCCTCCTCCTCCTCCTCCTTCTCCTCCTCCTCCTCCTCCTCCACCACAATTACACATGATGAATACGATTAAATTAATACTCACATGGCGACGTCGTGGAAAGATTCGGCCCCCCTCCGCGTGCTGGTTGTTTGCATGCAGGATTCCTGGTAAACGGGCTTTCGCTCGAAATTTTGTTCCAGAAAGCTGCTCTCGCTGAAGCGTTGGCCCCATTTTCGGGCTACCGCTCGTTCCGAATCGTGTTCCCGCTGCGGCGTTGGCCTCATTTCCGCGCTTCCTTTCGTTCCGCATCGTGCTCCCGCTGCAGCGATGGCGTCATTATTTCCAGCGCCATGCCACGGCATGGTTTTCGGTCCTTCCAAATAATCCCCAAAATCTAGTAAATGGCCCCCGAAACAACCATCGGAAGTGATTACAAATTCGGTGCCGATTCGTTGATTTTCTGGGCCGCAGAAGCCCTCCCCCACTTTGGGGCGTCGCCACGCCATGCTATGTCAGACTACGCGTTGATATTCCACACCATGCTATGCCATGTAATGCTACGCCCTGCAATGACATCCGACTGTGCGAATAAAGAGGAGATCTACGCTATGCGAAGGGATGGGAGGGAGGGGTAGGACGTCAGATATGACACGAGCGCACCTAGCTTGTCCTCCTCCTCGACCCTCGAACCTCGAGCCTCGAGCCAGGAGGAGGAGGAGGAGGAGGAGGAGAAGGAGGAGGAGGAGGTCGACGAGGAGGAGGAGGAGGAGGAGGAGGAGGAGGAGGAGGAGGAGGAGGGGGAGGGGGAACGGCAGCAGCAGGGTGACAAGCCGGAGCCGCAGGAGAGGGCGGTGTCAGGGGAAGCGGCAGCAGCCGAGAAGGCACCGCCTGCCCCCCGGGCCGCGGCGGAGCGGCCCGCTCCTCGTGCTCACCGGTGGTGATCATCGTTTTCGGCTCCCCCTCGGGAGGCGGGTCGGCGGCGACCGAGGAGGGGGAAGTGAGAAGGAGAAGGCCTTCTCAGAAGGCGGCGGGACTCCTTAGAAGCCCGAGCCCCTTCTGGCAAGTGTTCTGCGTTTTCGGGGAAGGCTTAGAAAACTTCTGAGCCTTCTGAGCCTTCTGAGAGGGCCCACCCCTTCTCACCTCCCCCCAGGCTCGCCGCCGAGAGGGGAAGAAGAGGGGGGGGCGTTTGGGGACTCTCTGTGAAGCACAGCGCGCTCGGGAGGGGAGACAAGAGAGGGGAGCAAAAGGGGCCGAAAAGGAGAGAAGAGGAGAAAGAGGAAGGGGAGAGGGAAGGGGGGAGGGGGGAGGGGGAAGAGTTTGGTTCGGCAGTCCTCGGAAGAGCCCGTCACGCGAGTAGCTGCCAGGAGGGTGCGAAACTGATGAGCACCACGGCCCAAGGCGCGCTGTACGGGCTCATTTTCCCCAGGACCTGAACCCAGGGGATAGAGAGGATGGAGGAGCCCAGAGGATGGGGGAGGGAGGGGAGGGAGGGAGGGACGAGCTAGGGGCGCTCGCACCACGTCTGGCGTCTTCCCCCTCCCGCCCACCACTTCCCGTTGAATATATCCGCGTCTACTTGCGGAATATGGGGCACAATCGAGCCAAAATCAACCGGTGGCGTCGGAGCCGTGGTCCATGTACCTGTCACCGTACCGCGAGGCACTGAGTGGAGTGTCGCTGCATGCAAAGAGGTAGGCGTCCTAATGGCCTCCCCCCTTACCATCTAAAAAAGAAATGGACTGAAAGAACAGCAGGGTCACGGCCACAGGGCCGCGCGCCGGCGCCGCCCGTCAGCCTGGATCTGGAGCCCGCGGGTGGGGCGCCCCGCGAGTCGTCGCGTTGCTCGGCCGTGGCCTCGTACATTGCGATGCCGAGGAGGCAGGCTGCGATCTGCTTCTGCGCTAGCCGCCGGGGGGCTGATGTCATGATGTCCCTCCCATCCCGCAACATGGAATATTGAAAAATTTGGGGGGCCTCGGCCCCCAGCTTAAGGATCGCCTGGGCGGTCTTAGGCGTTGGCAGGGATGGCTGCGTGCCTTTTCCAGAAGCCGCGGGAGCGTAGCTTTGGACATGAATTTCCAATAGCCTCAGCTGGTCACAAGGGACAGTCCTGGGTCCCTATTGGGCGCCTCTTGGGCCGTCTTCGGGGCCCTGGGGGCAGCCCCAAGAATCCAAACTCATTGACCAGCCTAGGGCCTAGGGCTTTGTATGACTTTAGCAGGCTCGCCTTTTCGATGTTGAGCGCATCCAGACGCCCCCAAGAGGCCCTGGGGCCCCCCGAGGGCTCCCCGAAGAGGGCCCCCCCAAGGGGCCCCCCGAGGCCCCCAGGAGAGGCCCAAGAGGCCCTCGGGCCTCCCAGCCGGGGCCCTCCGTCCAAAGAGGTGCCCCGAGGCCGCCTCTCCCAGCCCCGAAGAGGCCCCCGAAAGCTGAAAGGGCCCCAGGGGACTGCAGGGATCCGCGGCGAGAGAGGGGGGAGAGGAATCCAAGAGGCCCAGGGAGGCCCTCCAAGAGGCCCAGAGAGGCCCTCCCAGAGAAGCCTCTTGCCCACGACCCTACCCTAGCACTGTGGTGGGATGGGCCCAAGACTACTGTTGCTAGCAATAGGGGCTGGTGGCATGTTGGATGAGAACCGCTTGAAACCTTCCAACAAGAGTTTCCAGTGCGGTCTCGGCTCAATCTACCGGCCCCTGGGAAGAACCCCAAAATGGCGAAAACTCGCTCCCAATATGGTCGAGATGGCATACATTGGCTTCACGTGTGCCCAAGACGGTCCAAGATGGCCTCCAGGACGGCCAAAAAGGGTCCAAGAGGCCTCCAACTTCGCCCAAGATTCCTCCAAGACGGCCCACGACGGTCCATCAAGATGGCTCAAGAGACCCCAGACCAGCCCAAGATGGCATCGCGAGGCCCTCCAGACGACCCCCAAAAGGCGACAATCACTGATATCCCTTAATTTGTTGAGGATGCTTGCGTTGTCAATCGAAGAGGACTCAAAGTGCGGCCCCGGAACCACCCAAGGGCCCCAAGACGGGTCAAGAGGGCGCCAAGGCGGCCCGCGAGGCCTCCAAGACAAACGGCCCCGAGACGACCCCATAGGCCTCCAGGGCAGCTCGAAAGCGCCCCAAAAGGGCCCCACGATCGCGCGGTGAGGCCCCCACGACGGCCTCCAACGGCCAAGAGGTCCCTTAAAAGCCTACAAGTTCCCAGAGGCGCCCAAGAGGCCTTACGAGGCCGACAAGAGGCTCAAGGAACAGGTGCCGAAAAGCAGAGCAGAAGGGGAAGGAGAGCGAGAGGGAAGCGGGAGTGGGGGGAGGGAGGGCGGGGGCAGGAGGAAGGAGGGGGGAATGTGGCGAGGGAGAGAAAAAGGAGGGGAAATGCCACGTAGGGAGGAGGAGGAGGAGGAGGAGGGGGCGGGAGGTCCAGCTGTAGGTCCAGACACGGGCTCGCAATGCCAGGCCCAGCGGAGGTGACCGCGGGGGCAGTGGCCCGGTCAACGCAGCGGCAGATACATGGAGGGGCAATGATCATGGAAGAGAGGACGTCGTCAAGGTCGTCGTCGGCGGCGGCAGTGGCGGTGGCGACGTCGGCGTCGGCCGCGGCATCGGCGTCGGCCGCGGCGTCGGCGTCGTCGGCGCCTGAGCCATGACGGCCCGCAATTCGGACAACCTCTGAGACAGCACACTTCCGCGGGCGGGCGGCTCGCCATGGCCTTTCCCTCTTATTCCTCCTCCTGATCCTCCTCCTCCTCCTCCTCCTCCTCCCCCTCCTGCCCCTCCTCCCTCCTCCTTACCATCGTCAACCTCATCCTCGTCCTCATCATCATCCTCATTCATCGCCCCTCCCCCCGCCGTGTTTCGTCCCCCTCAGTCATGTCTTCATCCTCCCCATCCACCTCCTCCTCATCCTCCTCCTACTCCTCCTCCGCCTCCTCTTCTTGTTAGTGGTAATAATGTTCGTGTTGTTAATATGAGTGGTTATGGTATACGTATACATCTTATTACGCATATGAATGTCATTGTTGGTAGTGTTGGTAACACCAGTAACATTAGTACGATTAGCATGAGCCACCGTAGTATTATGGTTAGCAGTTTAAGTGGTATGAGTAGTATTATTCGTAGCAGTAGTGATAAGAATAATGATAAGGTTCGTAACAGTAGCAGTAGTAGCAGTAGTAATAATAGTAACAGTAATAGTAACAGTAATAGTAATAGTAATAGTAATAGTAATAGGAATAGTAATAGCAATAGTAATAGTAATAGTAATAGTAATAGTAATAGTAATAGTAATAGTAATAGTGATAGTAATAGTAATAATAATAGTAGTAGTAACAGTAATAGTAATAGTAATAGTAATAGTAATAGTAATAGTAATAGTAATAGTAATAGTAATAGTAATAGTAATAGTAATAGTAATAGTAATAGTAATAGTAGTAATAGTAAGTAGTAATAGTAATAGTAATAGTAATAGTAATAGTAATAGTAATAGTAATAGTAATAGTAATAGTAATAGTAATCGTAGTAATAGTAATAATAGTAATAGTAATAGTAATAGTAATAGTAATAGTAATAGTAATAGTAATAGTAATAGTAATAGTAATAGTAATAGTAATAGTAATAGTAATAGTAATAGTAATAGTAATAGTAATAGTAATAGTAATAGTAATAGTAGTAATAGTAATAGTAATAGTAATAGTAATAGTAATCAATAGTAATAGTAATAGTAATAGTAATAGTAATAGTAATAGTATAGTATAGTAATAGTATATAGTAATAGTAATAGTAATAGTAATAGTAATAGTAATAGTAATAGTAATAGTAATAGTAATAGTAATAGTAATAGTAATAGTAATAGTAATAGTAATAGTAATAGTAATAGTAATAGTAATAGTACAATAGCAGTACAGTAAATAGTAATAGTCATAGTCATAGTCTATAGTCATAGTCATAGTGATAGTGATAGTGATAGTGATAGTGATAGTGATAGTGATAGTAAGTAATAGTAATAGTAATAGTAATAGTAATAGTAATAGTAATAGTAATAGTACTAGGAAGAGTAAGAGTAATAGTAATAGTAATCGTAATAGTAATAGCAATAGTAATAATAGTAATAGTAATAGTAGTATAGTAGTATAATAGTAATAGTAATAGTAATAGTAATAGTAATAGTAATAGTAATAGTAATAGTAAAAGTAATAGTAATAGTAATAGTAATAGTAATAGTAATAGTAATAGTAATAGTAATAGTAATAGTAATAGTAATAGTAATAGTAATAGTAATAGTAATAGTAATAGTAATAGTAATAGTAATAGTAATAGTAATAGTAATAGTAATAGTAATAGTAATAGTAATAGTAATAGTAATAGTAATAGTAATAGTAATAGTAATAGTAATAGTAATAGTAATAGTAACAGTAACAGTAACAGTAACAGTAATAGTAATAGTAATAGTAATAGTAATAGTAATAGTAGTAGTAATAGTAATAGTAATAGTAATAATAAGAGTAACAGTAACAGTAGTAGTAGTAGTAGTAGTAGTGGTAATAGTAACAGTAATAGGAATAGGAATAGTAATAGTGATAACAATAGTAATAGTAATAGTAATAGTAATGGTAATAGTAATAGTAATAGTAATAGTAATGGTCTTACTAGTAGTAGTAGTAGTAGTAGCAGCAAGTAGCAGTCGTATCCGTCGTATTCGTAGTTGCGTGTTCGTATTATTGTTAGTCGTAGCTGTAGTACTCTTAGTCTTCGTAGTAGTAGTAGTAGTAGTAGTAGTAGTAGCAGTGATTGTAGTAGTAGCCGTAGTAGTAGAAGAAGAAGAAGAAGAAGGAGCGGTGGTAGTAGCAGTAGTAATAGTAGTGTTACTCTAGTCGTCGTAGTATTAACCGTATTATCACCCATACGAATATGACTCGTAATGTCGATCTGTGTAGTCGCCTGCGCAGTCGTAGTAGTATTAGC